GACTTGGGAAGTTAGAGGACGTCGATATTACTGCTATGATGTTGGTTTTTTTTTTATTAATACATAATTTAATTAATTATTTATTGTTATTTAAATTTTCTGTCAGATGCGATAAACGCATACATGACAGAAACACGGGCCGCAACTTACGATGTTGTTATCTAAATTACCGAAAATATATTATTATATCAATACTTGTTTTTTAACTGTCTGATTAGGTAGTAAATCTTTTTACCTGTCGATAATTAATGATGCCAGCACTTGTTGGTTTCGTCAGACGATAAAAAGCGGTATAGGTCACATGAGTTTTTGTTTGTCACTAATAATATGGACCGAAATGGGCCAAAATTATTTCAATTAACATTTTACGTTTAGACTTCACAGAGAACGTCATAGAGTATTAATTTAAATTTTTTCTTGTTTTTATAAGATAAACATTAAAAAACTTTTTTTTWAAATATAAATAATAATAATTCTACAACAATCGCTTTTGTGTAATTTATTAAATAATAATATAATGATCTTAATTTATAATAATTTAATAGTAAACTACCCTATATTAGAATGTATTTACATAGAAAGATGAAAATAAAAAATAATTGTTTTGGTTATTTTATGTTTATAAAAAACTTAATTATTTTTTAATATAATATATTGGACGTAAAAGAACAAAAAATATTATAGACACGAGGAAGGCATGCATATATAGATTTAAATATTGTGTAAAATATTTTGTATGCATAAAGAATAGGTTTAGACGTACATTTAAATTCGCTAAGCATGCTCACTCACATATTTTTATTTAATAATTAGTTACCTATTCAAATTATGATTTTTAGAATTTTTAAATAAACCTACTTAAAGAACATTATACTTGAAAATTTAAAATAGAAAAGATATTGAAGGTTAGGAATGTACTTCGATGATACAGAATAACAGAATATTAGTATATTGAATAATATTAAATAATGATATTGAACAAGGCGTGAATTGAAGTGATATATAGGTAACATTTGTATAATGCATTTTCATAATACATATTTACTTTATAGTATTTTCCCTACCAATGATGATTGAATTTTTCTTTAAAACTACGTGTTAAAGTAATTATCTTAATTCATAATTTTTATAACTACAAATTCGTTTTATAATAATATTTACGATTTACCTACTATATAAAACTATTGATAGGTGAAGTTATTAACTGATACGTCCTATTAGTACCCATATAATATCTACTATGAGACAACTGAAAACAATAATTTACTCTTAACAGTATTTTTATTACCTACCAATTACCATATCCATATGACATATATTATGCATAAAATAGCCGTATTGAATATACAGATTACAGACCTAGTGTTGGGATTCGTATTCGGTTCATTTGCCTCGGTGCGGGATAGTGGTGTAATATAATATATGAATTGTGATAGGTATTACATTTGAAAGAGAACATAAATCATTGTCTTCTGAAATAGTGTTGGGATTCGTATTCGGTTCATTTGCCTCGGTGCGGGATAGTGGTGTAATATAATATATGAATTGTGATAGGTATTACATTTGAAAGAGAACATAAATCATTGTCTTCTGAAATAGTGTTGGGATTCGTATTCGGTTCATTTGCCTCGGTGCGGGATAGTGGTGTAATATAATATATGAATTGTGATAGGTATTACCCGAGTAACAATTTCAGGGTGTGAGGTCGGTTAAATTGACCGATGGGTGCATGGAGAGTGCTAATTTTATTTTGAACTGTTTTTAAACTTTGTTTGGTGTCTGGTCCGTTCGATCGACTGAACCGTGCCTGGACCGTTCACAAATCAAATGATTAACCGAGTGAAATTATATTTTGGTGTTAGGTCCGTTCGATCGACTGAACCGTGTCTGGACCGTTCACGAAGAKATTGTTAACCGAGTGAAATAATATTTTAGTGTTAGGTCCGTGCAATAGACTGAACCATGTCTCGACGGTTCAATTGACTAAATTGTGTATTATAGACTGTTAGAGTCTATATGTATAAACTATTGTCTATATTTAAACATACTATTGTATTTATTATACATAATATACATAAAACATAATAAATTAATAACGTATTAATAACTTACCAATAAGTACTAACGAGAATTTAGCATTAAGAGGATGTCAGCGCACTATTTGTTTTCTCTCTCTGGTCCACGNACATTTGAAAGAGAACATAAATCATTGTCTTCTGAAATCAATATGGACTTTAGTAATTTGAATCGTAAACTTGCTGAGAAATCGTAAACATTTTTAAAACTTTATCATTAAGATTTATTTGCAAATCACGTATATTATAAGTGGCTAACTAACTAGATACTTACTAATATATATATATTATATTATTATTATATTACTATATACATATAATATATATTTCTTATTACTTACTTACTAAGCCACTACTGTTTCCGACTTTATAGGTACACGTAGATAGTTATATGATTTTATGAATATCTTGTTATCATTTTATGAAAGATTAATCATAGCATGATAGACAAATTTAATGAAGTGTAAATGGTATTGTATTTAAGAGGACACTACTCGARCATTTTGATGTCTTCGTCTGAACATGAAAAATCTTATTTTCACATTAATACATTTTACTCTGTAATTTCTAAAATTAGAATGAATTTATAACTCTTATAAAATTTAAAGGCGAGAATATCAAGTAGGACATTTTGGAAAATGTTATTTATATTATTATTGTTAAGTATGCTATAACCGTTTTTAAACTGTTGATTGTTCGTACGTTTTAAAACGATTGTAACTTACTTAAAAACAGTCTATTTCATGTATTTTTACATGAGGTGATCAAATATTAAATTCATTATTGTCTTTTACTCTAACACAGTAACACATGTATAATAATTTATTACTTCAATGGTATAATAGATTAGGATAATGGAGGAATATAATTAGCGTGTCCAGTTATGACTAATTAATTATTAATAATTTTGATTAGATCTCTAATAGACGAAAAACGGTCGTGAGCTGCTCTCATGGTTCATATTAGTGACGACATCACACAATTCTGTGAGAGTGCAGTTCGCTCACCTAGCAAGACGTAGCGCGGTTGTATAATTATATGTACAATATAAACGGCACGACGGCTCATCGTTTAGAGACGGTAAATTGTGGCTGACGTTTTACGCATGCCATATTCATACTATTTTACGTGTCAAAATTTTTGTGAAGATAAAATATGCGATTGATAAGGCCATCTTGCAGTCATTCAGCGTTTTCTGTCTCTAGACGCTTATTGTCGATTATCCTGAACCCAACAACTCTCTATAATATTATAATTCATCTTCTGGAGTAATTTTATACATATTTTTTTGTATATTTTAACTTGGATAAATACATGATAATAATTATCTATTTTAGATTTTAGAACGACAAATATTTTAAATATTTTAGCTACAAGATAATAGGTTTTTTTTTTGTATTCACGTATAAACATAAAAATGGTTTTCACCAAAATTGATTTTAGTGTTTTTGTTTACATTCTAAAATGAATAAACACATAGTTACATCAAATTGTTATAATATTGTCAAATTATTCTATTATTTTCAAAATATTTTGGGCTGATGTGCATTTTATGAAATTTATTGGTATTTAAAATTGTGGTTGTTTTTTTTTTAGATTTTTTCCAATTTATGAATGATTACATTTTTGTTCGTTCAAAAGTTTGAACATTTAAGACAACGTATATCATAATATCTTTTCACAGAAATGATTAAAAACATATACAATACAGTCATATCTGACGAAATAATTGTTCTTTATTTTGTAATTAAAAATTCATCAACATTTTAATTTTAATTATAGTACCCATTTAATTGTTAAATATATATTTAATATTACTATATATTATGACACAAATATATTTAAATTAAAATATAATACAATTTAAGTAGGTACACTGATGTGAATAGTTACATTTAGGATATACTTCAGAAGTATATGCTATGTAATATGTATATAATATTATATAATTATATGATATAGATGTTAATATGTTATTATTCGTTGGCATAAATCTAGAACAGTRTTTAACCGTATATTATTTATTACTTATGCGTCAGTTCGTACTTAATTCTATAGCTATTGCCTAATAAAATAAATGAAATATTTAATTGATTTGAATTGATTTCGATTGTTGGCATTGTATAACATTGTAAATTAAATAATTAACCAAAAATTCAATAGATACTTATATTTTTCTTGGTTCTTAGAAGAAAACAATTTTAAATAGAGCTTTCAACCAGTTTTAAATAAATACATATTATTATTCATTTTTCTCACTATTTGCCAGTTATGTAATGGAGTTTCATTTTTGGAGTATTTTAATTTTTTAATTTTTCAAAGTTGACCATAGTAGTTAGWAGTAGTACTAGTTAATATTAATATTAATAATATAACATTATATTACTTATTCCAGAGGTATTCAAACTTTTTCAGCACGTGGCTCCTTTGGGTGGTCACAATATTTTTACGGCTCCCAAATTATTATGAAAAACTTGAAACAACACACGGATACAATATGGGAAATATGATACATCGGTGGTTATAACAGTGACTAGAAATAAGACTTCAAATGGTCGAATCGTAAAGTATATCTTTTTCATTTCCATAATGATTGCAAATAATATTTATAATAATTATACACGACCTAGGTATGATGTTGGTTTTCGGTGCTTTGACGTGGCTCCCTTTGCAAACTCTCGCGACGCCCCTGGGAGCCGCGACGCACAGTTTCAATTATATTAAGTTAAGATATTTTTTTATACATATATGATATATTGATACCTATTTAAAAAAAAAAATTATAATATTATATTTTACGTTAACCATATTTTTTACTATCTGGCTACAATAATGATTTAAAAATAATAATAATGATACGTGTAACGAAAAATATATAATTTTTAACTCAGTTAAATATTCAGATTTATAATATTATTTTTTWAAATGGCTTTTAGCATTCTAGAGAGTGATCGAATAGACCGTTACGAGTTTGAAATTTTTATTGGTCAAGTTAATTTTACGGGATTGCAAGACAACCCAGAGAACTGCAATGCAAATAAAAAAAAAGTTTTAGACGAATCGAAATTAAAAGTAAATCAACAATAATTTAAACTCGTTAATACTTCGATATAATATACATGCCAGTAAAACTGAGTTCCTCACAACATATTATAAACTATACAACTATATAGCTAATATAAACAAATGCAAAATTTAATATTATTTTTGGAATCACGGTTGTTAATATGTTTCCTAAAATGCAATGGTAATATTAATTTAGAAAATGTGTAATGCTTGATGAATTCTTTTTTTTTCAAAAATATCAACATCTGTAAAGGTATGTAGGTATTATAATGTACATGAAATATGACAAATGTTTTAAGCAATTATGAAACTAATTGATAATTATACCTACAAWGAATTATACCCGAGAATGAGTATTTAATTTAACACAAATTATATCAAAACTTATCTTAAAATTATAATAGTATGTATAATTGTTTTGAAGCAAGAAAAAGTATCAAATTCAGTGTATACTATAAAGGCRTTGTTGGATAACATATTACAATTGAACATATCCAATTRCGACGAGATTGAGGAAGATCCTGAAGATCAATGCTTAACTTATTATGATCATTTTGAATTAAATGAGTCGCTTACTAATATTGTTAAACAACTTACCGAACGATATTCCGTTAATGAAAAACCCAGCTGTAGTGCGAAAAATATTTGTTTCGACATCACGTACAAAGAAAGTGAAAAAGTGACTAATACCACGAAGTCCACGATAAATAGAGGTGAAATACAAAATAAAATTGCGTGAATTTTAACCTATTATATTATTATTTTTTAATCAACATTTTCTAAAAATAACCACAGAATCAGAGTTATACAAATATGCATGCATATTTTGTACATGAGGGGGTAAGAAAATTGTAATGACATACACTTTAATAAAATAAGTGAAGGTTAGCCGAATATTTAGGTAGCGCTCCAAACTTGGACGCATTGAAGGTATCTAATAATTAATTTTTTCTTAAATATATTTAACATTTTAAACTATAAATTAAGTGTATAATAAATCAAACTGTATATTACAACTATACAATTATTATTATTATTTTAGATTCTGAACGAAGTGAGGAATGTAWTGATTTTACTATGATGCTTGTTTTTTTTWTTTATTTATTTTGTGTCTGTTATCACATTTTGGAGTAGGTATAAATAATCCTTTGATTTTTAACTTCAGCCCCCCTCTGAAAAAGAAATTTCATCTAGTTGGTACTTTGAGGGATTGAAAAAAAAATCGAATGAATGTAAAACCCTAAAAAAGTAACGAAAAAACCGGAATTTGTATGCATAATAAGTTTTCGACAAAATTGATTTTTTTTCTGCTATAACTCAAAAACGAATCATTGTAAATATTTAAATTTTTCACCAAACGTTTATATTAGCGTTATTTATTTACCATTAAATTTTCAAAATATTTTGACTTTTTTTAAGCTGTTTATAGATACCTTGTTTAAATTTTCAATTTTTCTATGTTTTTCTTTAGTTTAAATGCCTATAAAAAAAATGTAGTTGTCTAAAAAATCTTTAAAATTCAATAAAAGGTTTATTATTAGTTGTACTTATCGTAGTAAAAAGAAAATCAAAAATCGTTGGTCATAATTTTTGTTTATAAGCATTTAAAGTATAAATGTTTACGAAATATGTCAAAATTGCGAAAATCGGCATGGAATTATGAATTTATTGTGATTTATACTAAAGGTTAAAAAAATCCAACACAAGGTTCTCTATAAATTTTTTTTCCAATAACTGTAAAAAAAATACTCCAGAGTCAATATACCTATAAAACATTTTGTAAGTGTATAAAAATATATTATATTTTGATATAGCTGATAACACAATATATCCTAGACTGACAAATCATCTCCKTTCAGAATCGAATGTCGTATACAATGATACCTGCCATTGCATCAAACACATTTATTATAGTGACCTCTACTCTATCTCTACTATACAGCCGAACAACTTGCCCACTTTTTATTTTATTCATCGTAATTACATTGGTTTCTAATCCATTGGTGTACATTCCAATTACATATAGTTTACAGTAAGGTTTATGCTTAAATTGGGTTGCATAATATTATATCCTTTAAGAGGTTGATAACTTTAATATTTGATTCAATTATACATACAGGTTATAAGGCTTTTCATAATAGATGTGGTATAGTAGGCTAATCTGTTTCTCGTATMTTCAAACTTTAGACATTCAGTTGATAGTTTGATACATGTTTGACTGAGTATTCTATATACCACATAATTTGCATAAAAAGGGGAAGGGTCGTTTCTGGCCATAAGGGGGCCGTAAATTTGTGCCCTATTCTGAGGCTATTGGTTTCATCTTTCCTTTTTAGGTTAGGTTTTTTCGTATGTGTACATGGTTTTTTATTGTATTGAATTTGGTATTYTGTTTTATCCAGTGTTTATGAAGTTTTAGGCAAAGAACCTTCTGGATGTGTGTTTTTTTTAATGTCAAAGTATGTGAATAAAAGTAAAGAGCTTGCGTGCCAGTAGATGAGCTTGATTAGGAAGCTTCTTKAKCTGCTATTTCATTGTCAGGTGTGTCCAAGTATCCATAGATAATTTTCATCCTTTTTGGCGTGCTTTATATGTTTTTTCWTGGATTATTTTAAATATATTAGTTAGGTTGGTTGATTTTAGGATACTACTTAGAGAGTCACTTTGAGTTTTGAATTTTGATTTGTTATTTCTTTATTTTTGATTGTGTATTTTACTGGTTTGTGTATAGTTATTGCTTCGGCTGTAAAATAGAGAATTGTGTGCAATTTTATAGGAAGTAGATAGTTAAATTTCCTCTTATTGTATTGTCATCCCGAATTCCCGACAACTGTTTTCTATTTTAGATGCATCAGTGTAGATGTGTTTGTAATYGTGGAATTTTTGTATTGAGTTATGAAAAAGATTTCCATGTATATTTGAACTTATATTATGGTCGTTAATGATAGGTTAAAGTAGTATCTATTAACTTATAGGTGCCTAAATATCAAAGGATCTTTATCTATCAAATTTTGAAAAACAATATTAAATAATCTAATATTAGATTTACTTTTATTTTGCTTAGGTGTGATCTGTATTTTTGCCTGTGTACCTAGGACATTAGTTACAATTTTACAAAAGTAAGAAACACGATATTTTATTATTAAATATTTATACAATTATTATACATGGCTATAATATATTTTATGTTACTCTGTTAACCTGCACCACTGTCCACTACTATTGAGAACAACATTTTTCGTTATTCTTGTACTCATAAGTTACACAATTATATAACTTTATACATATTATACAATATACTTATACAATTATAATAGTTGGTATGGTATTTACTTACTTATTTATTTATTTATTTTGTTTACGTAATGGTCTTTTATAAGTTTGTTTTTATCTAAATAAAATACAATTAAAATTGTATGGCTTCATTGAAACTAATATGAGATATTTGAATTTTGTTTCTAATAATATTCTAATTTTAAAAACGAATAAATTTATATTCAGGGACTAATATTTCCATTTAAATATAGAACGTGATAATAATGTTATGATTACTTTCACAAGAATAAAAGTAAATATATTCATGTATGTATTTAAATAAAATGCTGTAAATATTTTAACTATAAATTTGTATTTACCTAACTTTTTTTAATGTATGGTCACTAAATCAATACCTATTAAAGTCAATATTCATAATAATATTACATAATATTATATTGATAATAGATGTATATAGAGTTATATCAGAATAATCAGATGTAATTTTGCTAATCATTTTTTAATTCAAGTCTAACATGTATTTGTTATAATATACATTAAACACATACTATATGCTGTTATTTCAGCAAACCTTTGGAATTAATAATCTGTGACGACCAACAAGAGGGTCAAATAAACTTAGGCATTGTATCCATCATGCTCAGCAGTTCGATGGGGTTTACTAGTGCAATAGGTATCCATTTTTATGAAAAAGGTTACGATCCATATTCACATACTGTCGAAAACGTATACGAAGTTAAAAATATGAATGGTAGTCGAACCATTGGAGATATGTTTGTGCGTTTGAAGCTAACATGTCACGGACCCGAAACAATGCAAGTCAATCAAATTGTATTAAAATCAAACCAACCGGAACTGCAACCTATATTCAACGATAGCGATTCATTTGATTTTCATTTTGATAAACATATCATCCAATCTCCACCAACGATGATGTATGGCAGTATAAACAAATGCTTGGGAAATATACAAGTATTAAACCCTGAAATAAAAGAGCTTCTCGATTGCCAATGGTACCTAAGATATTGTTGTTTACTGTTTAATGTTTATACTCACTCTATATACTCTATATATTATATTATTATATATTGTAATAATATATAACGTCACGTTTTGATTAATTTAAACTTTTAATTATGATTATATAAGACGTAACTGCAGCTTAATSTAACAAATATGATTGATAGCGTGTATAGAATAAACGTATATTTACATTTTTAATATCGAGTCTTAAATATTTCATTGTGTAAGTTAATACACACAACATACATACTTGTRAAAATTAACGAAAAATTATAAGAATATAAATTTAAATAATAATGTTGATCTAAAATGTATTCAAAGTTAATTATATTTACCAGGAACCAAGAAGTAAAAGAAAATAAACCATGTATTTGTCCTTGTAAAGGATTAATTGGAAATGTAAAAAACATTTTGTTTGACGATTCAAAACAATTTAACGCCTTGGTGTGTAAGTCAAACTTAGAAGTAAACCAAGTCTGTAGCAGTGTTAAAACTTGTGGCTCAGCGAATTATGACAAAATACCAAATTGCAATGATTGTATGGAAAAGAAATCAAGATAAATACTTTGCAATTTAAATAATATAAAACAAAAAATAAAAATATCCACCTTAAAATATTTCAGCCTGAGTGTGAAAAATATAAATAGTATGTTTGATATTTTATATTCAATAGATAACAATGTTTTATAAAAAAGTAGKTATAAGTAAAAACAAACAAAWATCGCATATTGTAAAATCATTTATAARGGTGTAATTTCATTCAATTACAAAATGATCACCATAACGTTATGTAATAGATTTCAAGGAATGTTATCAATTTTACTTTCGCCATTTTTGCAATGAATAACAGATACATTTTAGCTACCTATAAGGCTATAACAAGTATCAAACAATAAATGTATCTACATAATATAGATACACACAATTCATACAGTAAATTTACATTTAAAATTTAATATAAATGTTTTTTTCAAATACCTATAATTTAGGTTACTACAAGGTTTCAAAGAATTTGTTTTTAAACGCCCATTTATTGGACGAATAGCTTAAAGCATTATATACGAATAAAGTCTATACAAGAAACATTGTATTCGTGTGATCTTGAGTAGAATTTTTCTGAAAATTTGTTATCGAATACTGAACGTCCGAATATCAGAATATAGTTTTCTAACTACGTACTACAGTAAGTCAATACCGGCATATGTTAGGTGKATTTGAATAGATTCGTGGTATATGAATTGTTTAAAATCAATCTAAATATTTTTAAAAACTCAAGGTTTACCAAAAATATAATATACATCCTAATGGCGTAAAAAGTGGTCGATCTTGTTTTACTTACAACCAAACAACTGCAATTTTATTTCTAATATCATTGATCAATTGACGTGAAAAAGCGAAAGACGAGACGTTATTTGTCATATTATATCAGGCAAATTCTAAAAGCTTCCTTACATCATAAAATACGAGTATGGTAAACCCTAACTTATTGAGACGTTTTTGACAATAATACAACTTATAACTAAGTCTAAACTAGACTGTTATGATATCTATTATAATATGTAAACTTGATATTTAATTTAAGCAATTTATATCCGTATTAAGTATATTATGTTTTTTTTAGGTACGTTTTCATGTGCCTTCATAGGGATTAATAAATAATTCTTTCTACTATTGTTTTCGATACGAATAATATTTATATATGCGTATTTGCGTTTATGTTTAGTTGGATCAAATATTTTACCAAAAAGATACCCATAATTTATTCAAAATAATACAATATTAAAGAAAAATCCGTATCGTGTTCCGGATGAGTACAATTATTTCCAAATTGTTCAATCTATGTTTAGCTGGTAATGTAGCTACACATTATTTGATATACCGATAATATATTTCGAGAATTATTATCAATGTCGTTATCAGCGGACTTGCAGACGATATTCTAATGCCGAAGGAGGGCGATAAAACGATTTAGAAAATTTGAAAACCTATATTTAACTGCATACAACTTCCTAACGTGATTTAACTCGTCGACGACAGCGGTCGTTCGACCGAGTGTAACGGTGTACCTCCTTTTACAGATAAGATCCTTCTCGGAGTATTGGCCCATTGGCTACTAGCCAATTGTTCACCCCACCGAACACACAGTGATATACGTTACGATAATAATATAAGCATCATCTTCAAGACCACTAAAATCCAGACTTTTATGCCTGCGTATGTGTGAGTTTTTTATTTTTAACAAATTTATCCAATTCATTTTTACATTGGGAATGAATAGACATTTTCTATTCAGCTCGACACGCATAAATCTTAAATCAATCTATTATACCAATATTTTTTATTTTATTTTACTATATCAATCAAGATTAATGAAACATGTATGTTTTATCACTTAACAATTTTGATACTAAATACCTTACGCCTAYAATATTTTAATATTATCTTCCTGGTTACACACAAAAATACAGCATGCTGTATGTTACACATGTGCTGACTTCTATACCGGTAAATGAGTATAATACCTATATACCTTTTTGTATATTATAATAAATTTATAATGCTATTGTATTAAATTCAATATAAATACTCATGAAAAATAAAATGAAAATATTCTTACACTTAAATAAAATTACCCACCAACCTTAAAAATATGTTAACGTCATTGATGATCGATACAGGTAAACCTATAATAACGCCTATATAGCTGTTATTATTGTGCCATGGATACCGTATTAAGTATCATCGTATATATTATTTTGATTTAATGTTTTGGGTATTTATAAATAGCAAACGAAACTACATAACAATAACAATAATTATCTTGTATTGACCATGTCGTGTTTTAGAATTTTTGATCGAAAAAAAAATATTTTTTTCGTATGAATATTTAAAATTCTTACGCAAGCGAAACAAATCAACTTCGTATCAATATATACATTTAATATTTATCTTATGTCCTATTGAATATTATACTATAATATTACAGCCTTTTACAGTTTTATAATTTTTAAATAAATTATAACAATTGACTGGTGAATAATAATAAATATTATTAAATGTCACATTAAATATATGAATAAATTGGTGATCGGTAATTTCCTGTATTTTTATAATTTTTAAATTATGTTAAAATTAATTTATATGTGCTCTCAACTGCAATAGTTAATTCAGCAAAAATGGTTTTATAGCACAAAATGCCAGTGGTATTCGTATAATATAATCTGTTGAGGGCAGAAACAGAACGGATAATGTTCACTTAACTACAATTAGGTATGGGTGTTTTTCATTTGTCGAAATATTATTCATAAAATCAAGTGTTGTTTGACCTTAACATTAAGTTGTTTGATAGTATGATRATTCATTCTAATATCAAAGCTAGCGACGCGTAGTATCATCTGCTGAAAGCAAGTCCACTATTTTGCGCCAAGGTTAGACAAAGAGAACAAATGGTTCGGTTTCATATATACTTTTAAATAAAAGTTCACCCTAACGATTGGTCAATTTCTCACCCGAATGATGTTATTCTTAGGGGTAGATTTTGGGTCATTTGCCCTAATTAATTACGCTTGATAAAGTCGGTCTTCGCGACGGCGTAATAAAATATAAGAAATTATTGTAATTCAACACCACATTGTAGGTAGGTATCTAGTTAAATTTAACGAGACCGTGTCCAAAAACAAATAGCTTCTATGTGTTATAAGTGTTAGTTGTGGTGAGCGTCGACGCACATTTCGTTGTATAATAAGGTGCAAGTTTGATACGGTAACACGACGACTTGTCTGAAAAATATAAAATTTCATGACCTTTTAGTACTTACTGTTTAGTATTATGTACCACGTGTGTTAAAAATATGGTAAATTCTGTAGAAAGGTGGTTTGATAATCACAGACGCAGGCTGATTATTTGTTTTTATTTTTGCATTTGCCATTTGTTTAAGCATCTTATTGTTTATAAATACTGACTTCTGTAAAATTATTGATTTTTAATTGCGGTGCAGTCATTATAATATAATAATATAATATATTATAGTGCGTATATTATATTCAGTAAATAAAATTGTTTTTATCAGTATTTCAAGGTTTATATAAAACACTGTATTTACACCGAATATACAGTTATTTGGAGAGAAAATATAATCAACAATAATACAAATTCAAAACATGCTTCATGCTACGACATAATAATAGATTGTACACCAAACGTAAATATAAAATATCTACATATTTTAGAATCGGATTCTCAAATAGTAGGTTTGTACCTACAATATTTACTTATAGTGTAAAGGAATAAGTACCTAGAACTTATAGACTAAATACAGATCATGATTTATAAAGGTACATAAAAGTCACTATGGTTATCTCAAAAAATAAAATAAAATAAAATAAAATAAATCATCTCACCATATGNCACGACGGGTAAAATGACGATTTGACAGTAGTTGTCATAAGACTGAGTCTAGCATTAGCAGAGATCATTAGAGTTCAAAAATCATAAAAACGATAACACGCGATAAATTGTCGCGCAATTTATTTATAACGCGATAAATTGACGTTGCGATAAAATGACCACGGTGAATTGACGCACGATGCATTTAGCCGCGATGAAATGACGTGACACCACAATATTTACTTATAGTGTAAAGGAATAAGTACCTAGAACTTATAGACTAAATACAGATCATRATTTATAAAGGTACATAAAAGTCACTATGGTTATCTCAAAAAATAAAATAAAATAAAATAAAATAAATCATCTCACCATATGTTACGTACCTATGCCAGGTTACTATTTATTGTCTAAAAATCCATTCCTATTCCCTTGTCGGATAACCTCCATACGCAGGACAGTATTTACGAAAGGGAGGGCGTAMAATGGGGACAAATTCTCGACATGGGGAGAAAAAAGAGTAAATACGTAGATAATATAGATCGTCCGAGACCGATGAGGGCCACATATTTAATATTATAGTTTATAGGTACGCACCACATTCCCGTTTTTCTGCTGTGCATGCGTAAGTAGTAAGTACAATAATATACTGTTTTTTACACTTAAATGACAATATTCGAATCATAGTTGCAGGATTTCTATATATATATGGTACGTAGTTAAGAAAATGGAAACTTATATTTCGACCAAGGACCTGGCACCTGCACAGACGAACGAAGCCGGATTAATGTGCTTGTGGTGCGTGGTTTTGAGATGAAAATTATGGCCCCCACAGGACAACAACAAATCGACTCCGGAAGTTAAAATGTATGTATATATATATACAAATATACAATATAATATAATGTTATACTCTACTGGCTACTGCTGCATCCGTATCGTCTGCAGCTATAATATTCCCGACACAACGATACAGGCTACGATCGTCGTTTTGTCATATACCTATCGCGCTAAATAATAATATTCATACCGATATGGCGTGGCCTGACGATATAATCTGCAGACCACTTCACACTAGTTAGTACRTATTATTGCAGTTGTTTGTAAGACAACCGATTATATGCAGCCAAGACTATATTTACCAGGTGGGTGTACTGTTGTCAATGATTTAAAAA